AAAGCTATTGGATTGACTGTCTGGAAATACTGACTGATGTAGGGCGGAGATGATAAATTCCGAAAATGGAAGTGCATGAACTTGGACCACCAGGCTAGTTCTGTGGCATCCCTTCGCCTCTTCTGATCTCTTCTCCTTAGTGATCAAATCCTGTTGGTCTTCTTAATGAAAATTTCCTCGTTTGTGTGGTCAGCTAATTTGTTAGGCCATGAGTCTTCGAGAAACAAATCAGTTCAATCTGCAGTGGCGCGCCATCAAACAACAGCAAGCTTGAACGGAGTCGAGTTCATATGGTTTCACTAGTAGAATAGAACCTGACAGTAAATTCTTTTTTTTTTTTTGCGACATATTTATTGGATCTGAGTGCCATGTATCTCGGCCAATCTTCAACGTCTTGATCAGTAGGAATGCCTGGAGAAATGCAATCTGATAGAATCATCCACTCCGTGATACCTGCCTGTAATGTTGTGCGAATTAAACACATTTCCGCAGTGCGAAAGATTTGCACACATCTACACGCATGAGATTGATAATCTTTCTGATCTGTGGTCGGTAAGCCTTACGAGTTTTACGTTGGTTTTGAACTCCGACCCGGGGTCAGTGTTTGGATTCCTTATATGACGGAGCAATGAGTAGCTATCCGGTTGTTTTCTTCTAAGAACGCAAACTCATCCCCCACCACAGCGATGTGTTTACGCGTACGACCAAGCGCTTGCTTCTTGGCAAAAGTCTCACCTGCTTTGTGCCAATCATCCTGCTTGCGCGTGGTGCCAGCCCTGTGATCGGGTTGCATATTCTTCGGAGGTCCCCCACGCTCTGTATCGGGTGGACTGCAGGTTGTCCGGTGTCACGACAGATCAGCATGTACCTTTGCCTTCATACCCCGCTTCGGACTTAAGTCTTAAGATACTTAAACTGCAAAGTAAGAGACGAAAGTATAGTCCTGTACTGTCCCCCGCTGTCTTGTGTTCTTTTCCGACCAAGATGCACTTCGCTGACCACCCTCCGAGGTTCGACCTCCGCAAGGACATTTACCAAAAGCTACCCAAAACTGACGACATTATCGATTGGAAAACAATCAATCCCCTCGAGACAGCACTTCCTGTCATTGAAAGTTTGTCCTCATTTGTCCGTGGTGTCGATATCAAGCAACTAGATATCGACGACCTATTTTGGGCACGGCAATGTTACTGGCGAGACACTCTGGCGCTTACAGCGCACTTGAGAACCTTCTCTGGGCCGAAGGAAATCCCAGCGACACTCTCTTACCTATCCCGAGCTCGTGGGATTGGGTCTTTAGTTGTGCTGCCTGAATCCGCCCAGGTTGTGTCAACAGTAGCGAATTTGGTAAGAGTCAAACTACCCATCTCCAGGACGTGATGAGCTGAGTTCACCCAAAGACATGGCTCGACTGCAACTTTACTTTCAAGACCAGATATCCGACGGCCAGCTGCCTTGGGAAGCTCATGATGCTCCCTAAGATATCATCGGATGGCCAGCTTCGTTGGAAGATCTGGACAATGGCTACACTGCTCATCGCCTTCGACGACTTTCCCGAAGACGTGAGGCTATTGAAAGAGCCCTCATCGGTCATTGGCCCAAACACAGTTCTGTCTACCGACGTGGTCATCGTTGGCGGAGGCAATGCGTATGGCTACTGTCCCGTCCCGGTGCGGCCGGATAGCTCGAAGGGCTGACGCGCAATTAGGGGATTGATCCAGGCTGCTCGTCTGAAAGCACTCAATGTGGACTTTGTCGTCATCGAGAAGAACCCGCAAACTGGCGACAACTGGGCGAAACGATACGACTGCATGCGATTTCACATCGGCAAGAACTACTGCCAGATGCCATATCTCCGTGAGCACCTTCTTGCGGGGTACAGAGTGCGGAGTCTGACATGAGTGAAAGCCTATCCGGAGGAGGCAGAGTACGAACTGCCTCGAGACGAGCTTCAGCGGCATATTCAGCGCTTCGCGGCGAGAGTTCGATCTAGGACCGCGAGTGCTCAACAGCTCCACGGTCAAAGCAACAAGCTTTGACGAGAAGGCCCAAACTTGGAAACTGAACTTGATTGTCGAGGGGGTTGAGAAGTCAATCACCTGCAGAGCACTGATCATTGCCACCGGGTCAGGGTTCAGCACGCATACATTCCGATGTTGCCGATCGAGAGCGTTCAAGGGGCCGAGTCTGCACTCCTCATCCTTTCGGAGCGGCAAGGAGCTCGTACGACACGGAGCCAAGGTAGGATAAAGTCTGCCACTGCCTGGGCCACCAGCTGACACTGCAAGTCTGTCATCGTCATTGGGTCTGCCAACTCGGCCTTTGACGTGTTGGAGGATTGCCACAACGCTGGTTTGACAGTCCAGATGATCCAGCGATCTCCAACATACGTTATTCCAATGAGATACTACGCCCATCCTCAGGGTTTGGGGATTTTCGACGTGGTTTCAACTGAGGTCGCGGATGCCATGATTAACATGGGCCCAGTTGCCATCGTTGGTCAGCTGCCCGGGCTGGTTCACGCTGCGCTGGCAGCCGAAGAGCCGTGCGTGACCCCAGAATCTGCCTTGCGCATGCCTCGAAGTCACTAATGCGAATCACAGCGATCGATATAGCAAGCTGAATGACGCCGGGTTCAGAGCGTTAGATTCCAAGAAGGAGGACCTCATCGACCATCTACACAGCCGCGCAGGTGGCTTCGTAGTCGACATGGGCACAGGCGGCGTTGATCTCATCGTACGCGGGACGGCCAAGGTTCGATCTGGAGTCACGCCTGTATCCTATACATCGACCGGATTGAAGCTCAGCGATGGGACACTGATGGAGGGTGACTCGCTAGTTTGGTGCACGGGATTCGAGACTGATACGCGCAAAGAGCTTGTGGCGGTTCTGGGCGAAGGAGCTGACGTAGTGGCAAGCAAGATGGATGCCATGCTAGGTGTTGATGGTGAAGGCGAGCTGAGAGGGTTGTGGAAACGACACGGTGGAAT